TTCAGAATAGTGTATTTTCATGATGCTACTTCCTTTATTCGACCACAGTTGATCAGAACTGTCACTACTGAATGCCAAATAAAAACTTGCAAGTGCATTGCTGCCTACTATGTAATGTGGCAGAACATCCTTAGAAGGATATGGGAACATGGATGACTATACACAGCTTAAGAATAAAATATTAATTATAAAATAAATTTTAAAAATCCCTTGGAAGTGAGAAAATTGTAATAAAATCTGCACATTCAAGTTCTGCAGTGGTTGAGGGATGCAAGAAAGAATGTTTGATCAGACTGCCAAACATTACCTTAATTGAAAAGGCAGGGAAGATGGAGAAGTAGGCTCTGACTGCAACTTGGCATGGAATACTGGTGAGGAAGAGATTTTGCTCCCTCTGCCAGCAGACAGGCTGAAACTAGTGCCTGCCATTGATCATCAATCTTGCTGCATACTAAACCTTCAAGAACTGCAGTGTAATCTCTATGACGTCTTGCCACCTTGGCAACGAGACGTAATTGAAACAGAGCATCCAAATCATAAGAATTTGACAATGCCAACAATATGATTGTCAAACTGTCTTCCTTGGTGAGTTAATAAAATTATAATATGATTAAAATACGTCCTTTTCATCCTGTCCTTTCATCTCACATGTAGAAAGAGACCTCTCTTCCATAGCACCAGGGAATACTATTTTACACACAGGAAAAATGACTGGATACCAAATAAGCATGGGTCATCTGTCCTAAAAAATCATGGAAAAATTCTTTTATCTTCACGTATAAATGCATTTTATTTATGTTGTTTCAATTTTAAACAAAATTCCAACAGTATTACTAACGGTAAACTAAAACCTTTTTCTAACCCAGTAGCAAAAGATGTGTTTGTTTTTGTAATACTAACAGTACACACCAAAGTCCACTGTCACTGATGAGTCACATTTTGCTAACAGCATGTCTAATATGCAAAATTTTTAAAAAGCACTGTGACTATTTTTTCTAGACAAATTCAATTATTTCTCCAGGCCACAAATATGCAACCAGTACTGACTTCCTGTCAATGAACTTAATCCCACCAGCTATGAATTAGAGTGCAAGCAAATCCTGCCTGATCAAGTTTCACAACAGATCACTCAGTGAATTTCAGGAGTTGGAATTCTGAAATTACACCAGACATCTCAAGAGCTGATAGCATGCTGTACACAAGGTGATTTTTCTTGTTATTTTAACTAGATATATGTAGAAATGCCCTAGACTAGTCTTTGCATAAGCAAAAACATCAGGAGATAGGCAAGACCTGTTAGATCATACAAGCTTGTTCCTTTCTATACAATTTTTAGTGTTTTCCCAAGAAAATTTTAAATACCTCAAGGCTAGGGCATTGACTACTTCATGAGAACACCCTTCCAGAATCTTACCAACATCACCTCTTGGAGTATGTTTCTCTTACTACTCAGTTTTTTGGTTTCATGTCCTGGACTCACATAAAACCACATCCTTCTCATTATTTATACACCTCAAACACTTGGTGTCTGTGCTATGTGTGGCCAAGTACAGTAAAGTACAAGCTATTTAGGGAGAACATGTAATTGTTTCATTAGTGCTCTGCTTTGTGTTAGGTAAATAAAATGAAACTTAACATTTCATATATGCAATAGCACTTTCACAAAGGAGCTGTGATGTTGCGTGACTTCTTTTTGTCATTTAATTTTAAGCAATAGGAATTACATTAACAAGAAAATGTTGTGACATGAAATCCTAGATATACATTAAATACCATAGGTGGTAAAATATATATTTAGCTGATATTGATCTATAACATTTTTAGATATTTTCTTTTAGGCTTTCTCACTGGTAACTCAATTTGGAATTCCACCTGCACAGTAACACCAATGAACACACACAGATGAAAACTTGTGTCACTATTAGATCCATAATTCCTGTCTATTCCTGGGTACCAAGAACACCACGCAGTCTCAACAGGGCTAGGTGAAATAATATTTAATACGTTGCTGGCATTAAACATGGTATTCTGATAACAGAAACATCACTAAAAACAAGCACATACTGCCAAGCACTACTTTACCATTTTTCAGAAAGCATAAACACAATCACACTGCAGCAGAGGCAAGAGAGTTCTGCATACTGAAGCAGCATTATTGGAATACCTGTGCTCTGCCTATAGAAAAACAAAACGTAGCTTGCAGTGTGTGTGTGTGTGCATGTGTGTGTAAACTACACTGTATATGGTAATTAAATAAAATTTGCAAGAAACTTGGAAGAAAAGGCCAGGACATAGTATGACAGTGCAAACATACCAGTTTTCCTAAAAATATTTTAATAAAAATCAAATAATCTCCCAGACAACCGTACTTCTAGTTTGTACATTCCTCTGGACATGCCAGAGACAGAGCAGCAATATGGTGTGTTAAGGAGCAAAACCTTAATTATTCTATCTGAGATTTCAGTAAAGGGAAACCCAGTGAAAAGAGGGGTTAATGTATGAGAAAGCAGGAAGCTGAAAGGAGAAAAGTAAAGCATCAGGATTTGATAAGATTTCTCCCCAAAAGAGGGGAAAAGGAACATCAGTTCAGTGGAACTCCAGAGCAGGATCCCTCCAAAGGATTATAGAGATGTTAACAGGGTGGAAAAACGACACTTATTTTTTGTTAATTTAAGAATACTGATACAGAACATTGTTCCCACACAGGTTTGTGCAAGGTAGAACGTTATTCATTCTAGTCTAGGATATAATTTTGAAAATCTCTAGACAAGCTCAAAATGGGTCTGGAATGTTGCATTTTTATTTAAATTCCAAACAGAACCCTAAACTGTTAATCTGGATTTTAACTAATCGTAGCAATGTTTGTCTCCTGATCTTATGTTCTGAACAACACATCAGTTTGTGTTCAGTATGAGTAGTTTTATACCAAAATAAGTACTTTTGCCAAAGAATTGTATCTAATGGGACATACCAAAGGGGGCCATCATTGAACCTGAGGATTAGATCTGGGAAAAACAAAATTCTTTTTCTATTATGCACTAACAGCTGGCTTTTGCAATCTAACAGTCAGGTTACTTGCATTCTCAATTCAGGTCTGGAACATTAAAAAAATCATCATGCTTCTTACATCCGGGGACTCACGTTTTCCTGCGTGTACAGCTTTCGAGTTAAATAGCAAGTATGTGACTAGGTTATCGCAGAAAAAAGATTTCAGAGAACTTCTTGTGAGAGAAATGGTGTGAGATTTCAGTGCTCCTACCAAAAATACAAGTGCGTAGAAGAAATTACTTAAAGATATTCCAGAATCAATCCAGCTGTTTGCTCTCTTTGATTGTGAAATTAAAACATTATACATCATTCAAGGAAATGAGTTTTTTACTGCCTTTTTTGTTTTTTTTTCCTACTTGATCAAACTTGACCAAATGAGGAATCTAACCAAACTGCTACAACTCCTGGAAGTACTCTCTGTGTCTCCCAAGGTAAAGAGCTACGTGGACTTTCTTGGCCATTTTCTTTAGAGGAACTAAAAATCAGAAAATAACATAAAACTAAGGTTAATCTTTTTTTATAATAAGGGATTAATACAGTAGCAAGAATAAAATAGGACAATGGAAAATCTCTATAGCTCACTAGCTTTTTTGTCAAATTAGGTACTAGTGGCAGCAACAAATTACAAACAATTCATGATTCTGCTACTCAAGGACTCAAATGAGAGGGAACAGAAAAAGATGAACTTCTAATTAAAGATGGGAGAAAGTTTCTTTTTTGGGATTGACAGTGTAATGTCTCACCAGACAAGCTATATAGGAGAAAGAAAATATTCTGTAGATTCTTTCCAAAAAGCAGTCTTGGGGTATTCTGTACAGCTCTAAAATAAAGCCCATTTAACTAAAACATTTTCTAAGTTGAAATGATTAGAAGAGATAAAACCTACCACTTTATGCTCTATATATGTAGCAAATACAAGCTTAAATAGGATTTCAAGAAACTCCCTATACATAAGAATTTGTCAAAATTGGTCTTGTCTTCAGCAGATGTTTCTGTGTTCTAGGACTGGTGAAGTTCCACATTTTTTATTAATCACAGAATCTATTTCTAGTTTAAAACAACCAGAAATCTTTCAGTCAGAATACACAGTTTAAATTAAACACACGTTATTGATGTCTAGCTAGACTGTCACAGTAACTACTATTTTGCAGTACCATGATGAACCAATTACCAATGATTAAACACTTATTTCCCACACTGAGTTGTATAACAATATTCACATTAAACAAAGATTATTTAATATTGCAAGCAAGTCTATGTTCTGAACTTCTTATCTCCTTAGATACGTAAGCCCTACAAAGTGGCACTTGAGCTAACCAGAACTGGTGAAAACACCCCTATACTGGGACACTGACATAACCGCAGCCATACTAGAAAAGTTCTGCTTTGAAATAATTGCTTGCAGAATTTGCATTATTTACATTTTTATATTTACTATCATATTTTATCACTATCAAACACTATGCCAAAAATAAAAACAACAAAAGAAATTGAAAACAAATGTACAGTTAAAACAAGCCATTCATATTGTCCAATGTTAACCACGCAGACTGGAAACCTAACACGTACTTCTGGCCAATGCTTAACACGCCAAATTAAAACAAAAAGTACTGCAATAAACAGTTTTTACACAATAACATCAGAAATCATTATTTTCAATTATTTTAGTTATAATTTAATTATAATCCTCTAACCCATCAAATAAGTTTTCATTTAGTTCTACGTAAATTTATTAGCATCATCATCATTGTCCAACATCACCAAGTGTAATTCTGGAGCAATGTCCATAATAGTCTGTTAAAAAGTCTTCAACTGACATCAATTTTAGAATGCACTTTCCTATCTGCCATATATCTCCTGTCATCACTTTCTTTGTTCTAATGTACATCGTTTTAATGACGTACATAATGTAAAATAATACAAAATAGGAGTGATTTTCAAGAAAATCTTACCCTATAAAAAGCAGTTGTCAGGGGTAACAACGCTGCAGCAATGCTGTATTCTTCTGAAGACGAACAATCCTTCAAGAAAAACATACAAAGAAAATCAGCAAGACCATTTTGAATGTTATACATTATAATTTCATGTCTGCCTTACGGAGTCCTTCTGATATCCTTCATATACACAATGTAACTTTTAATCACTTGGTATCATGTAAGAATCACATATATTTATGTGTGTATATACATTATCTTCTCTCAATTTCTGCTAGACAGGTACTGCTATGATTCTTCCCATTTAAGGAATTTATTAGCAGCTTTATTACTCCCATGTCTGAAATACAATTTCACCAACAGAGTTTACGTATATAAAAAAAGTATTCCTCATTTAGGAAACAATAAAAAGGTAGCTTGCTTCCATTTGGGTCAACAGCAAATCTGACTGAAACAGAAGTGATGTGATGATCAAAGAATGTACTTTCAGAAAGTTTACACCAAGAAATTGACATTTATTTAATACGAAATCATCACCTCCACAGCCTCTACAGAAGTTTGGCACAAGGTTAACTTTAAAAGAAGATGAAAACCCATTCTCTTCAGTCTCAGAATGCCTCATTCAACAGTCAAGTGTGTCATTCATGTCTCTCTAGGCTGAAAAGGGTATGCCAAAATAAATCAGCTAGTAATTGCACTGATGAAAATAGTGATTTTATTATGGAAGTCTTTTTAAAAGAAACCAGAACTGGAATGTAACTTAATATTTAAAAAACAAACTACTTGAATTTTTAAGACTTTATTAAGAAACACAGAACAAAAAATACTTAACAAGAGTTAAAGAAAAAACAAGTCTCTTTTTAAGCAACCCGAGTTTTTCATTACGTCTTTTTGCCAGCACTGAAAAACACAAGGCACATAGTTCTGCTAGACAAATGTAACACAATTGTGCCCCTGGATGATAAACAGCAAAGTATTGCCATTTGAACAATTAATTTCAATATTTTTAACATTCATTCTTAGAAAGGGCATCCTTCAACTCAAACCACACTCCTATTAAGTATCTATAACATCTGACCAGATTCCAAAATTGAAATAACTCAAGTGTTCCTCTGCCAGACTTTTCATTTATGCCTTCAACTCATCATAGCAGAGTTCTACAAAACACAGCAACTAGCAAAAACTGGGCACCAGCCAGCTGTGATAGCAGAGATTTCAAATCTGCATTACAGGAACAATCACGTTAAGAATCATTAGGATGTTATTTGTATTCATCTCACTCTTCTTTCTTAAATGGCTGTTGAGTGATTACGGCCTGCAGGTTTAAAACAACAGACCAAAGAACTCACCACAGGACTGTTTTGCTTCTCCTTTCTTTAAAAGTCCATTTAATCCTTTGTGATTTTCTAGTAACAAATACTTCACCTTCTATCATTTTAATCGAGCTCAGCTAAACAGGACACCAACATCCATACATACAGTAGCATCTAGAAAACTACTTACATATGTATTCTGAAAGGGTGTAAAACAAGTTCACAGATGCGAAGCGTTATTTCTGTACAGAGTTACTGAAGGCTTTAACTCCCCGTGACTGCATATATGCTAACCATGCATGGAAAACAAAAGGTGTGCAAGTGCTCACATTTGCAACACATTCTAATCTGGTAGAGGAAAACAGTAACAAAAGTGGACATTGAGAAACTCAATATATGTTTTAATGATGCCTTTCAGCGTTGTGACGTGTATATGAAAAACCCAGAATAGTTTGGAAGGTGTCAGAACAGTAAGATTAAAGAACACAGCTTCAGCTGCTTTTCATTTTTAATTTCTGCCTTATTTTGTATTGTTACCCATATCCTTAACTCTCATTTGGAATTTAGGACATGCATTTGTAGCTTAATGTAAAGATACGAGAAATAGTGTTAGTATTCTTTTTTTTTAATCAGAAACCTTTCCATTTAAAATGAGACTTTACAACCTTTAGGAACGCTCAACCATTTTCAAAAAGATAAATATCTTATTTCTGTACGTGCTTATTTATAGCCAGGTATAAAATGATCCATCCTTATTGTTTCAAGTTACCTACCTAATCCTTTAGCTCAAATTATTTGTAAGAGTTTTGGCTTTTACCCAAAACATACATAAAAATATCTTTATAAAAACTGAGCAATATATCTTCACCTAGAGAGCATTCAATACTCCAAGAGCTAACATATGTCTCAAAGATATATATCATCACCACATAAACAACACAGTAGATTAATTTTTCCATTCCCTCTTGCAAGTATGAAATTCTCTGCATATTCTATGTCAGCAGTATCCCCTGGACTTTCAGTATGGATGTCTTACATATGTATTTTTTTTAATTCTCCAGGATGTAACAAGAAATGTCAAATGATCTGTTAGGAATAAACTATAATACTGCTGGTTTAAGAATAGCAAAATTAATTAACTATTTATCTGCTTTGTAGCTGCAAAAGAGAATGTCATAGTTAAGAGATGTTGCACTGAAATCTTAGCTCCTCGATTTTACAGGCAAACCAAAGTACTGGCAATCCCATACATGTATTGTATGCAACTAATTTAGGCTCTTGAAATAAAGCAATCCAGCTGCCTTATATATTATAATGTCTTTACCAATTGTGAAAAATATCTCCTACTACTGCTACAGAAGTACACAAATCACATACCAATTAAAGCTGTTTCCCTAATTCACACAAAATGAAGCTGAAACACATCTGGGGAACAAAAGTTATTCTCAGCAAATTTATTTCCTAAAAACAATGTCTCATGACAGTGAAATCTGGACTTCCAGCATGCCACGTGCAGAGTACTGCTTTGAACCCATGCCTGATGGAGTGACCTGGCACATTACTCTGGCCATATTGATCGTACATTCAGGTAGATGCTGAACTCCATAGCAGATTGGAAGTGTTACAGTAATTCCTGTACATTTAAAATAGTTTTGCCAAACTGAATTGGAAAGTGAATAATAAAATGGAAATGCTTTTCTTTGCATTACTTACTTTGATAATAAATGCGATTTACTTTCATGTTCTGCTCAGTTTATACGCAGCAAAACTTTTGTGGTTAGATATTGTCACTCCATTGTAGAACTGACAGCTAGAAGTTAAGAGATTTTGACCGCTTGGATGAACACGGGGACCGCTGGTATCTGGTGAGGCAGTGATGGCTTTTGGAATTTGGCAGGTGGCTTAGGCTTCTGGTACTGGAGAGGAGAGGCAACTCTTCTCTTTCTTGACTTCAGAACAAGCACTGACCTGAACTTCCGCTTGTAAAACATGGTATTGGACATCATCATTAAATTGAGATGCCCTCCACGATCTGATCGTAGCAATGAACAGCTAAGAAAAGCCACCCCAGGTAAAGGTTCCTACCTGATCTGTGAGTGAAGGTGCAGGCCCAGATACAACAAACTCCTGAAGCACCCTCTGCTGTTCCACTGACTGCTAGAGCAAGCTGAAGCCAGTGAAGCCCAGTGCCAGTGAAGCACAAGCTTGCATATCTTCCTGAACAGGCTGCACTATGTAACAACTGATACTTAGGGACTTGTGCTTTCTTTTAGTCAAATGATAAAAATCTAGCAGAGATATATTAAATATCTGATAATATTTGGAGTGCAATTTTCTTTTTAAATCCATCTTGATAGTCTCTCTCATTAATTGCTAGCTGATACAGTATGTTTCCTGTGTTAAACCACATTCTGCTTTGGGCAGTAAGCTCTTCAAACAGACACCACATTTTTAATAATCTACAGAAATCTGAGTATGCTGAAAACTTGAGACCCAATTTTGCTTTACATTCAGCAGCACTATAAATAAATGGAATTACCTGCAGGCCTGCCTATCACATTAAATTAACATAACATGCAGTAAATGCATTCAGACTAAAAAGCTAAAAATGGCAGCTCTCAGTCCATGCTTTTTTTGGCAGTGGAGTATGATGCATGTATGCCCCATTGAAAATACTGCTCAAGCAACCCTCATTTGTCCTTCTTGAGAAGTGCTGAATGGTGTCAATTTTCATGAAGACCAAGAGCATTGATCACCATGCAGGTCTATGCTCATAATGAATCAACAAAAAAATCCCAGACACTTTAGTTATATTTGTTTTTAAAGCACTAAGACAAGAATTGTTAAGTCAGCATGTGTAAGGTAACCATAAACCATGTGCAGTACATTGGCTACAAACTACAGGTGAAATATTGGTTCCAAATTCAACAGGTTATTTCAGTGGCACCAGGATTTAATCCTTATAGTTAGAGATAAATCATGTGGGCAGAGTTTTACTGAATCACAGAATTTTTATTGTTGATGCCATTAAACCTAATACACGAGGTGATTCTTCTTGTCTAAAGTAGTAAGAGAATTCAGCAGTATAGTTTAGAAAAAAAATGCTTTGTTGAAAGGAATAGGGATTCCCCATATAGAACTGCAATGTATTTCAAAACTAGAATTAAATTTTAATGAGATTCTTTTAGCAAAAACATTCATTTTGATTATACGAGCAGAATAAAGTTCATGCATCCATATATAAATACGGTGTAAATGCAATTGAACTATTAGAAGTGGTAGTTTGTATCAAAGAAAACCTGTTCTGTGTTAATCGATGTTGCAACCAATGCCATTTATATTCAATTTCAGCAGAGTCAAAAATTCAAGTAAACAAACCAACAATTTAACAATGTACTGATCATATCTAATATAATTATATGCTGCCTTTAAAGAAGGTGAAAAAATCCAGTCCTATCTGGAATCTCCAGCGTAACTTTAGAAAGTATTTAAACTGTAAGTTTTAAATCCACAGATAAAGCATCAGCAGCAGTCAAATAGTCAAAGTGACATGTTTTTCTGGAATAAATGCCAACATGACACTAATTACTTAGATTACTTATTACTAACAGCATATGATCAGTTTCAAAAGAAAGTTTGAAATATTACTGAAATAATAAGTAAACAATTTTTTTCAGTGAAAACTGATGTACAGTTACTTTCTTTCTAATGTTCATTTACAGTTTTACCTAGTGAAACTAAGATCACTGCTGGCTGTTGCTTTGCTTTATAATGGGATCAAAGTTGCCTCTTTATTCTTGTCACCAAAAGTGAAACCAAACCTTATTGAGACAGTTACAGTTTTCTTAAATGCAACTCCTCTGGCCCATATAGCTGACTACCTGTGGATTTCTCTGCATAGCTACAAGAATACACTCAAAACGTGGCAGATAATGCCTTATTTAACTCTCATTATCTTTAAAACTTCTCATTCTGATAAGGATATATAAAGTCTTTCAAAATCATTAACTCACAAAACCACGTCTTGCATCATAAGTAACCCTAGCATGTTTTTGTGTTAGTCATTAACACAGACTTTTAATTTAACTTTTGCTCTACTTGAACACCGTTGCAGTGATTCTCAGTAAATAAAAACAAAAATGTACACTCTTACTGTCTATCGTTTCCAGCTTTATCATTAGGCTCTTGAGGAGCAACTTCTCAGATTGCTACCTGGTTACTATCTGACAGCAGTAATTCAACACAAAGTCTGTATTAGACAGACTTCACCTGTGCTCTGAACTATGCCAGATGTAGCAGTGTCCTCTCTATGGCCATTACACGACAGTGAGATTGCTGTCTGCTCATACAAGTGCCAATGCAGAAGCAGTCCCATCAATTTGTTTTGTGGTCTTTCTGTCTGACTAGGAGCCTTCATCACGACCATTTCGTTAAGGAACCTTTTATGTCGGGAACAGGATGGAAGATGCTGTAGGCCTGCCATTCCTGGCAGCAGGAGATCCAGTTCCATTTTAGAAGGATTTTACTTGCTGAAGAGCTTCATATTTGTCTTTACCTGGCCCTAAATTCTCACAGGTTTGTCTGTCCTTGAAACACAGTGGTGTAAGGGACAGAATTTAATTGATGCAATTTAGATGGAATTACCCAAGCACATAATGGTTGTTGAATATTAAGCTTCCTTTTCCTTTACTCCACACGCTCACAATTAAACAAACACAGCACATTTTCTCTATGCAGCTCCATTGTACTTGTGATCTCAGAGCAAGCCAAAACAAGCAACAACATTTTACTCTAAGAAGAGCTGTCGATCCCCCCCACTTTCTCAATAAATACATTTCTGTCTAGGGTTGAGATTAGTCATTTCCGTGTTCTTGTAACAAATTATGTTTAGGAAATCAGGGACCTTGATTTTTATGTGCATAAATTACACATTCTTTCTTCACCGTATTTTTACCGTACCCCAAAAGCATAAAAACACTGAACTTTTTTTTGCAAGATACTGATAAACACAAGAATGTCATCTCTTGTGTCTGAGCACATCTGAGTTTCTTTAACAGAAATGCCATGCATGTTTCTGAATACTGTCATGAGGCCCATGGCAATAAAGTTCAACATACTCAGGCTGTAATCTTCTCCCAAGGAAATGGTTGGGATGCCAAGATGCCTTTTGACTTTTATTTCACAGCAGGGCTTCATTCACAGTGACTCTGTCCAAACCTTAAACTACACCAGCTGTGATACAAGGTCCTGCGCAGTAATTTGTAAAAAGTATTTGACAAACAACATTCAAATGATAGAATACATTGCAATTCATGACAAAACAGTGATCAATATCCATTAACTACTCAGTTGGAAAGCAGCGATTCATTCATAATATATCTACAGAATGCAGTGTGCTCCTAAAGCCCCGGCAGACCAAAGCACTTACGCAGCGATTGCAAAACATAAATATAGGCTACTTTGTAAACCACTTTAAGGACAGCCTGCTTAATTGAGTTAAGGAACAAAGGAAAAATGCTTAAAATATTAGAAGAACTATTAAAAGAGATGCAATATTCCAGTACAGCCCAGTTATCTATTAGCGAATCAGCTCACAAGTACACAGCACTCTTTTTACGCAATCTAGCATTCATTCGCTGTGCAGCAGTGTCTCTCCTCCTAAACTATAAGCAAAGTCACAAACTTTCAAGCATGTAACAATATAGTCATTCTGCTTAATTTAATTTAACTGTTTTTCTCTAAGTTTCATATGATGTTCTAATTTCAAACACTTTTAATAAAAATGCATCACATCATCAGTGCACATTATAGACAACGTTTATAACTTAACAGGAATTAACGCTTTTTTTTTAAAAAAAAAATCACATTTCTATAGGTATGTAAAGTGATTCACTGGAAAATCTGATTTTTAGTTTAAAAAACCAACATTGTTTGGATAGAAATGGAATTTTACATCTATCTTCTGAAGTGCAGAGAGTCAATGCTCAGCTCAAATCCATTACCAAAGATGCTGGGTCTAGCTCACTGTGGAGAAACTGAACAAACAATGACTGATGAAACGTAACTTGGAAGTAAAGCTCACTGAAAATTTTCCATTGAATCGCATGTAATAGCAAAATAATTTTTTATTTATGCTAAAATCCCTCACTGACATCATCTCACAAAAGACAGCTTCTAAACCCTAAAGTTTTCCTCTTGGGAGACTTAGTTTCTTATTGGTACCTTTTCAATTATTACTGATTTTCTGGGGAAACAGAAATAAAACCTCAGGCAACACCCCAAAAATGGCAAGGAACAGGTTTGGGGGAATCTACAGGCTGGACTGTAGGGAGCAAGTCCTCATAAAAGACATTTCTAGACACATGAAGAACAAGAGATTGAGAACAGAAAGCACAGGCTGACAAGGGGAAAATGGATCAACCTCTATGATGAAATAACAAGCTCTGCAGCTGAGAAGAGACCAGCACATCTCATTTACCTTGGCTTTAATGGGGCTTTTGACACAGGCTCCTCTGATACCCTCGTAGGCAAGCTAGGGAGATATGGTCTAGATGAGAGATTTGAAAACTGA